AATGGCCGCAAAAAGCGGTGGAAGCATTTCCATCACTATATTATTATGGAGTTGTCCCCGCTCGCCCCCTTGTCCCATTTGCCGGGTGCGATTCCACTTAATCCGTTCGAAAACTTTTATTCGATATACAGCCAAACAAACTCGAGACTTTTGCCGAAGCAATTTCCTACTTTGGTATAATTTAGCTTTACCGATTTAATAGTATACAGGGTGAGCGATACAATGTATGTTAACTATTTTCAGAAAGTATTCATTTTTGTTGGATTTTTTTTTTTTCAAACATATTTAAGGAACAAACATTTCTAAAATCTTCCGTTGCCCTTAAATTTGCTGTCGCTGTTATGTTTAAAAATGGGTGAAACCATAGTTCATCTTTAAAATCTTCAAGGTGTCATCGATTTTTATCAACAGATATTAACACAGCTAATTTTACATTAAAATTTTGTATTCTCCGTCCACAAGCTCGTTGGTATAATTCCACTGTCAAAGTGTGTTTCATTTCGACAGAACTTTTTTTTTTTTTTGTAAAAATATTAATTTTACGCATGATGACAAATTTATTACGTTCTTTCCTTATAATTACACGTAAATAATTATATTAAACGTAGTTTACTATACCTATTAGCCTTATCTGACCATCAGCGTAATAGGTGCCGGTAATCTTGAAATTATGTTTACTAATTGACTGTTCGACGCTAATATACAGTTACTACCAAGTACGTTTAGCGTATTACGTTCTAAATTCGTATTTGACTGAAATATAGTACATGCCAAACGGATCATCAGACACGGTAAGACGGCGAAAATAGTTGTATTAACAATTTGTATTGAAAAAATATGATGCCAATAAAAACCGAAAGAGGGCAATGATTTTATCCAAAAGCACAAGTTTGACCAACTAAAATAAGATAATGTAGTATTTTAGAGTTTCTGGTTTTTTAAATATTCCAAAATACAAAAGAACCGGAAAAACTCAATTTACTCCGAGATTTTGACTAGCCATATACTGTGTTACAACCTCTATTAACGTAATTATGATATCCTAAATAGAATGGGTAAAATATCTATGTTTAGATCTTCGGATTATACATTTGGTCGATGGTTAACACCTTTTTCTTAAGACCAGTGTATAAAAATCCTAAGGAGAGGCAAAATAATGTATTCACTAAATCCTGAGCACCCCAGTTTAAATACATTTTAATTGTATGTATTGTACACTGTATACATAATTGTATAAAAGTCTTAAAACACTTTTTATGGTTTAGAAATAAATATTGTAGGCGTCAGATACTAGATATATCCGTATGGCCATATTGATAAATAATATGAATTACCTACATAAGAGTTCATTAATCAAAATATGTTGTAAGTTATTTTAAAAAAGACGGACATATTTCTCCTGTGGACCACTGTTGTAGGTGAGAAGTTAGGAAGGTAGGGTATAGAGGAAAATTTAATGTATACCTGTACGCATCGATTAATCTTTGCTAACGAAAAACGATTTTGAGCGTTGTTCGGTTATATATGTTTTAAAAGGCCGTAACATTTACGATTTTCAAAATACGTCAAAATTTGATACTAAAATTTTTATAAAAAAAAAATAAAAAAATACCACATTAAACTCAACTTTTCCTTTTTGAACACTAAGTACAACAAATAATAAACCTCCTGTCAAATTTTCAAGCATTTTTGTTCAGTCTAACAATTTTATACACATCATCTTAAAATACTAACCTGAAAATAAAGCGATATTTAATATGAGTTCTCTGTTCCATATGGAATTATCAATATGGAAGTATAAATCAAAAGACCAGCTCAATATTATAACTCTCAAAAATGTAGCCACTTAAGTATAAATTAAGGCACAACATCGAGATGTGTTAGATGTTATGGACAACACACAGGAAGTGAATGCTCAAAATCTACGGAAGAAAAGCCAAAATTGTTTAATTGAAACGGGGAGCACTCAGAAAACTATAAGAAATATTCAGTAATTATTAAAGAAATTAAAAAGAGATGGCCAGACAAAAACCAAGTTATTTTAACACAGAAAAAAAATCATATTGCAGTAGTTTCAAACGGCACTAAAGGATCTACTATTCAAAATTAAACCAATCCAAACATAATCTATGAGCATTGGATCAAAGTAAACTGTATTATGTAAGAAATTTACATATTATTTGGCTATTAGTGTTCTACACAAGTATAGCATGTACGGTGAACTTATCCATTAACAATTAGACAAATTTAGAATCCCTTCAGTCTACATCCGGATAATAAAGAGCGAATGGTTTTTCTCAAATCACACAATGAGGACGTCTTTAAATACCCAATCTTTTAGGAAAATTGTAGAGAGTAATAAAAGGCAGCTAAAATTCTGAATAAAATACTTCAATTATAGACACATCAAGGAAAATAATAACAGAAACTGCAACAAGGATATATTTAACAAAAGAATTCCAACAAAAATGTAATGTCAAAACACTAAACAGGCCAGCCGACAAAATCAGAAAGCAATCTCAAGACTACGTGATACTTTCTGGAAGAAACCAAAAGCGCTTGAAATAGATATGAAAATGATAAAAACAAATCAAGAACTCGTGCCACGCAATAATACAGACCACGGGAAAAAATGATTTTAATGAAACTAAACCGAAATTCTATAAAACATGATTTAGTTAGAACTTGAACAAATGCGCGTTTTTCAAGGCAAATATAATTTACTTGGCAGATTTACAGTAGGTAACTATTTTTATTTATTTTTGGACAATGATACGTAGTCGTTTTACTAAGTACGATTTGTACAATCTCCAAAGTGGATATTATCCACGTACATTATTTCGATTGGCCCGTGCCCGTTATAATATATTGACAAAAAATGTATGCATAATTTGAACGTACCCACATTTCATACAATGTTTTATATGTCTGGTGAGTCGTTTTCAAGAAGGAATACGGGTTATCACCCCCATAAATATGCCTCCGACGCGCATAGTTATGTGTTTGATACGAAATTCGTGCGTATATATAGGTGTCCAATAGCAGTTTCTGATCCGACCTAATCTATTATAGAACACCGTTGCGCCTTCTGTCGTAATAAATCTAACTCGATAAACAAACTGACGTAAAAAAAATACATCGTGTTTGCCCATAGGTACTCTTTAACCGACCTTTTTGTACGCGAAATTAAATTTTCAACAACTAGGTGTAGGTAGTACCTACAGGCGCCTACGTGGTTTTCAAAATTATCACGAACAAGTTGTGTTTTGAAGTTGTTTTCTAAAGTTAACCATTATACATACCCACCTAATATTACACGTATACGTATACTGTGCTGCGCACTGTTGTGTATTCTGTTGCTCGGGTATACCTAATCGAATTTTCATAATACTTGAAAAATATGTGTTTTCAACACCGAAACGTATACACATCGCTACGTTAAAAATATAATATTATTATCGACATATTTTGTTATACGTATAAGATAATAATAAAAATGTTTCGTTTAATGAACGTATAGCAATGCAGGCAGGTATTATGTTTCTGGTGTAAATTAAACGTTACGTTTTCATTAACGAATAATTATAATAAGTCTTGTATTTCCTCTAGAAATATTTTTATTCAAACAGTATATATATATATACAATATACATGTATTCTAAATGGCAGCTACGTTCTGATTTAATTGGTCTAATTATTATTTACTTTGTCCCAAAAGCCATCCAGTGTTAATTAGCCGTTTCTTGATAAGCAAATTTTAAATGATTTTAGCGTCAAAAGGTTCAATCTGACGATCTGCAGGAACGGGTTAAAAAAAACTCGTTGTAATGTTTAACAATTAGTACCCTTGAAAATGATCGATTTTTTTTTTTTTTTTTATTGAAAGAATCAACACGAAGAATGCAAACTCATTTGGATTACATTTTCCCGAAAGGTACAGAAGATACCTTGATTACATCAAAATTTAAACTTTGACAATGACATTTTTGTCTGCTATATTATATAAGCATAAAAGTTTTATTAATGTTTCCACGAACTATATTATTAAATGAATCATCAGATTTTATGTATACGTCTAAAAAACAAATCGTCTTCTTCTTCTCCTTCGCTTTCGTTCCAGCAATTTGGGGCTGGCTAAAATTTAGAAAAGAAATACCTTAAAAATAAATTTAAAATAAGTTTTTTAATTTAGTCTTTTATCGACGTATAAATAATTGAATGCAATTTACATAATAAATTAAAAAAACATTTGATTCCATATAAGTAGTTAGGTAATTTGAACAATTGAACGTAAAAGTAGAAGAGTCTTTCTTGAATAAACACAAGAGATTTCCAGCGTCACCATCGTCGCGTAAATCTATTATTTTCGGAAACATTAGTCATAACATCATTACAATAATTATATCTGTGTCTATTCTGAATAAGTATTTACGATAAGTATTTGATTTTAAATTAAAACCATCTTATCATTAAAATTCCTTTGAAATATCCATACCAAACCAATGGAAAGAAAATAAAATAGTTTCGCTCCTAACTAAATTGTACATCGTTTTATTATGAGTACCGGAAATTAAAATCCATACTATAGTCACATTTATTCTTGATAAAGAGTATTGCATTCATTCAAATAACATGCATTTAAGTCGTGTAAGGTCGGTGCATATGTTTAGATAATATTCACTGTTCACTCACCCCTTCCCTAAAAAAACTCGATCTGATTGACTGAACTTTCCTTAGATGTCCTCCACATGGAGCCGGTGATAGTATTCCCTGAATATAATATTGTGTTAAAAAATTTACTAATTCAATAATTAATCGTTTATTTTCTAGTAGACACGTAGTTAAAAAAATCGTACTCTACCGGGTGAGTCTAATGGACTTTACTGTGTGGTATCCATTTGAAGTATTTGAACAAAAACAATTTCCTTAAAAAACGACAAAACAAAATAAGAAAAATTTCGAATATTATTTTTCTTTACGAAATTTCAGTACCGATACGATTTTAAATGATACGAACAACTTTTTATTTCTTCGTTATTTGTCACGTTCGATATATCGCGACGGGATATCGTTTGTCTAGTATCGCATTTTAAATATCAACATCATTGATAAACGCTGACTAAATAATATAATAATATGATGCTTACGAGCCGCATTTTTCTCTTTAACTTATTTAACTACTATGTACAACACGCAGAAATTCTGATCAATTTTAATTTTTCTTAACATTTTTGATTTTCTGTTAGAAATTCGCGCAGATATAAATGCGTATTTATTTATAATATTTCGATCCAATTTCATTTATTCTCGGATGTAATTTGCCGATCAGACAGCAAGCATATAGTGCACAATAATTGCGTTACTATGAAATTTAAAAATTGAACGTCTAAACTTTATTTTTTGCGTTATCAAAATATATTCACGAGAAATGATATCAGTTACAGTATACACTAATAGTTTAGAAATATTACACTCACAGCAATAGGATATGAAATTTAATCAAATAGGTGGTTACCATTCAATAAGTAGGTATATAATTTTCGGTAGATAACGAGTTATAGAAAAAAAAGTGATCGCGGTATTTTGTTTTTTTTTCTTTCCATTAATCGTCTAAGAAAATATTCTTAAAAAAAAAACATGAAAATAATTTTTGGGTAAAAACTTTGTGTAACGCATAATATATATAATATGAGTCAATAATTTCTTGTTGCGCGCCAGGGTTTCATACTATTTTTTTCTTATTAATTATTATTTAATAATGCGTATATATTTTATTTTGTTTTCCTTTTGAACATGTACCTACTGTAATTAAATTATATCAAGGTTTAAAAGTTCACCAATAACATTTTTTCTTTTATAAGTTTATATAAATAAAAAAAAAAACTGAAAATTAAAGTATTGAAGGTTTAAAAACTTTTAGAAAACCATTTAATATGCATTAAAAAGCGAACAAATTTTTAATACATTTAATTTAAAAATAAATCTATTTATAACTTTAAACACATTTCATATCTTATCAAAATTTTCAGATTTTATGTTTGATAAAGTTTCAGTAAGAACATTAAATTATTTTAAGAGAACATTATGTTTAATAAAACACAAAAATGTTACTTTGCAGCCTCGGTAGTGCCTGCACTATACTAGGTGAGAAGTTTGAAAGGTACAGGTTTAGGGTAATTTATACGCTGAACATAACAGTAAACTATTTTAATTAAAAACAATTCTGAGCGAAATATTATTACAGTATTAATGGTATATTATTATTGATCATGTTTTTTTTAATATTTTTTCTCGAAAAAAACAGAAATAAAACCTATTGATCGACAATTGTTGGCAGTTTTTCAATTAGTTTTTATTTTAGGTTATAATAATGTCCATTATCAAACAGTTATAATTTTAATTAACAATAACACAAATATTTTTATGGTAACCTTGTTTGAAATTGTTGTAATAACTATTTATTTTAAATTCTGAGTGGAACGAAGAGCTTATGGTTTTACAAAGATGTTTATTTTTTTTTTGTATCTCTGCGAAAATTTTCTACCATTTATCTTGATCTGATTTTTCAGTATAGTACTTTTACTGAAAGGAAATCTGACTGGGGAGGTATTTAAATAAGTCATTTTTTTATTTTTTCATTAGTTTTCTCAATAAATGGGAAATCCGGGAAAAAACACGGGTATACTGTAGGAAAACGGGAAAGTAGTAGTACAATATAAAACAAATATTTTTAAAGAATATATATATTATCTATGTCATTATTTTACCATTATATGATATATATATATATATATATATTGTTGACGAAGCAATAACACCATCAATTGAACTCCGCTCAGAAACGCTTTTATTTTTTTTTCAAAAAATTATTTTATCACGGTTAGATCAGCATTATTTTAAGATAAATAAATACCAATGCGATAAACTTAAATTTAAAAAAAAAGTTTTAATCTATTATAATATGTACATTATTTTCTGAGTTTTCATCGTTTTTAAACAAAAGGTAATAAATGCCGTACTTTTTTTTTTTTTTTAATCACGCATAGGTAGATTTTTATTTTAGACGCTATATAAGTACCGTATAATATATTATACATGTAAGGGTTTTATCGGAAAGTAAAGGGTGAGCCACCAAAAACTCAAATATTTATGCGCTTTATGTTTTTGATGATTTATATAGGTACGTATTTGTACGTTATTGCGTGTAACTCTGTAGCGGTGTGTGTATACAATTTTAATGGATTTTGACACGAGAATCTCATTAAAGTATCATTCTATCCACTATACGTGGTACATTTTTACATTTTATTTCAAAATCCTTATAAATATTTTTCGGGAATTATGAGGTTTTCAAAGAAAAACTTTTCTTACGTAAACTGCTAAATTCATTTGCTCCGATTCAACCAAATGAACACGCTGCACTGATAAGATATTATCAGTATCTAATTATAGTATTACGCGTCCAAATAAACAGAACTCTACTGAACTTATTATTCATTCCCGAAGCAAAAAAAAAAAAAAAAAAAAAATAGAAAATAAACAGAGTACGCGCGCTAAAATATCACGTGAAAACGATGGAAATAAGCCGTCGTTGACTTTATTAGGTGTTTATAGGACGCTTTTTTTATTTTGTACGGCAAGGTAATTCAGACATGTTTTGATTATAATGGTTTATAGCTGTATTCAGTAAATAAATTAAAGCACACCTTAATAAATCTTTTTCATTTCAAAATGTCTATCTACTATAAAGGTCTTCCCTTGATGTAAAGTACATCCGGCATTTTTGCTGAAGTGATTTTATTTTATTTACATAATAAACGGACGAGATCCAATTAATGATAGTAAAAATTAACAAGTAACAATAAAAGTATAATTATAATTTACAATGTATCAAAAAATGAAGGCGTTGGGATACTCGGTAAAAGGAACAAATAAAATGAAAGAAATATGAGTTATGTGAAAGGACAAATCGGATCTCTGAGACTTACTTCAGTGAGTTAAGAAAATAATGTATTTGATTGGATAGGAGAGGAATAGCGAAGGTTCGCCAAATGCCTCCGATCGATTTTAAGGGTTCCCTTGCTTATTGATATAAGTGATGAAAATGCATATATGTATAGGTAATAATACGAATATCATATTGTGCGGATATATTATATTCTGAAAAAATGCTACAATTGAAGTTGCACGGTATATTCACATCAATATATTGTGAAAAGCGCGAGTGGCAAGTAAAAATGGGATAATTCAAAAATCGGTCAAATCGAATAATAAAATTGTGTTTGTGATCGGATATCATTTTTTTTTTTTTTTTTTTGATATTATATACATTTACTATATGAAATTATCGGTAAATAGGATATTACGTCGTTACGTCTCGGCCACCATAAATTCATCATAATATAATAACACGAATCGACACCAATGCGTAAAATGAAATATAATATGACATTATATAATATTACTTTATTGATTGTTTATTTCGCGCAGGATTTGTCGTGTTTATAAAAAATGTATTACTGTTGACACTACACTATATTTGTATCACCTTAAACCAGGTAAACAGAGGATATTCTATCGCTGGAGTTGAGTAAATTTGGAGAAAACAAATTGATTCCTCTCACGAACAACAATAAATACAAACATGATTTACCCGGTTTACTTTAATTTGCTTCAAATAAAAAGACTAAACGTATTTCGCACCGTGGATAGGTCATAACTGTCAGAGAAAAGTTGGAATGGTATATAATATCTATATATCATATACCTTTCCATAGAGTGATTTAGTTTATACATTTTGCGCAGACTGAAAGCAACGATATATCGTTGCGAACAAACAAAAATTTTGAGTGGAGCTCGGTAAACTGCAGGTGATTAGATGATGGTGATAGTACATTAGTCGTGATTATTTCTTGTCTATAGACAACGTGCCTAACCCGAAAATAGACAAAAATAATTAAAAATGTAATAAAAAATAATTTTTTTTGGAAAAACTGAGTTGTAATATTATAGTCACTCGCTTATAAATACGACACTGTCGCTGAGTGCAGGGCCCAATAGTAGATAAAAGTATACAACTAGTAGTAAAACAAAATAAACGATTAAACGGCTTCAGAATATGTTTGCCATAGTTTTACCGAACGGGCAAAATATATTATTAAACACGCGGCAAAATGACTATAATACCCGATGATGTATAACGTCATTATTGCAAAGCTTAAATTAAATTAATCGATTAATTACAATTATGATGGTGTGCATGATAAAATAATCTTCATTAATCGATCAAACATAATATAGTGTAAAAAGGCTATCAACGTAAAACATTATTAATTTAATCACTATCGATCACCGTCCTGGATATTGGGTATGACTTATAATAATTGACAGCGGTATAATGTTAATAAAAATATATTATTAATAAAAAAAAAGCCAATCTACCAACAGGTGTTTCCGTCTAAATGTTTTTTTCAGACACTCTTATATGAAAAAAAAAAAAACAAACAAATAATTATCCTTATCGTTTATCATTTATCTAAATAGACACATTTATCAATAAATTCTACAGTTATAGGCGTGAAAAGCAGAGGAGGCAAGAGGTTAAGCCTCATTCGAAAATTGAAGATACGTTAATATGAATCTTTAAAATGATAATAATCTATAAAGCACGTAGTATATAATGTATGAATTTTTTTTTTTTGTTTTAAATAAATGATAAAGTTTCTGACCAATCATACTATCAAAACGTTTCGCACAATAGTTATAGCATTTTATTGTGTCGGCGCTATCGCGAGTTACGGATATCGTACAGGTATAACGAATTGGGGAGGGTAGCAATTTGTTTTTTTTTTTTTTTGCTCATCAGATTTTATCTGTAGTTCAGAGCCTCCCCCCTCCAAATTTGAAACACTACTACTCATTTTTGTGCCTACAGTACCCCAGAGATATACGCTTTATCTGTGTTTATTGTAATCGGCAAGCGACGATAACGACCGTTTTGTATGCACAAAACAAAAACAATAATAATAATACCACCTAATAGTACGGTGTAAATAAACGAAAACAATTTCGTTTAATACCTAAATAATAAAAACGATGACGGTGGCTGCTGTTGGTTTTAATTTTCTTTTGGAAACATTCGGAGCGTGAAATAGGGTTATTGCACGCGCAATAGAACTCGGTCAAAAGGTTTGGACCCTTTGGACATTTTATTTCGAAACAAAATTTTAATTAATGTTCCAATGTACCTACACGCGACTGTAATATAGGTACCGAACACACGGGTTACAATGGGAATAGTAGGTGTTATTGTAACGATAACAATGTATAATCGTTTCGCGGTTTTAAAAGGACGTTCAACAGAAATTAATACGTTTATTTAAACGCTATCTACGGACAGGCACCGACCGAAAGTAAACCGAATGAACAAACAACGCGTGGCTAGCTTTTTATGTAGGTATTAATGTATAACACGAATTTATTTTGTTATAAACGAATTCCGACAGAATTGCTTGAATTCAACTGTGATCTAAATATTGTTACACATTCTATAAATAAATATTTTATCACAAGCACCGGCCGCGGCGATTTTCTATTACGAAGATTTACTTAGAGTAAATATTTGAATTGTTTGTTTTGTAACCCGACCGCTAAGTGTCTATTTAGAATCGTTCGATTCATTCATATTATTATAATATTACGATCTTGTTTCCGATATTTCCAAAATGTCACCCACGAATAAATGAATATCGAATTCTGGATTTATTATTTCAATTAGCGACAGACGTTTCTCTAATAGCGTTTAATATACTATTATAACCGGGGCTTGGATTTTTTAGCACTGGAAATAGCTTACAGTATGCGCTATATGTCCTAATATTTTTAAAATAAGCTATAGTAATGTCATAAAAACATGAAAAATGGATTAAAAAAAAAAAAAAAAAAAAAAATGTTTTTTTAAATTTCAAATTGTTTTTAAATACATAAGTACAACCGAATAAAGGCATAAATGTTAAGTGTTCGATGAGTCAACATGCAGGGTTACTTGTATATAATTGGTTATAATATGAAATGAAAATAAAGGTATTTTTCATATGGATTCCCATAAATGAAAGATTTTTTCTACTATATTTATAAAAAATACAATATAAATCATTAAATTATGCATATTACCAAAAATAGTTCAAATATGAAAAAAAAAACAATTTAAAATTCCATATTCGGAGTCTTTGGCGCATAAAACAAATGTAAAGTTCACTCTGCTAGTTTTATCTGTATCCTATAATAATTAGCAAATGCTATAAAATCTGGACCCTAAATTTATAACATAACAGGGAATGGAGATATTAGAGTGGATTATTTTAATTCTCGGTTAAATTTAACAATTTAACACCGAGTGAAAACAAGTAGAAAGTAAATACATTTTTAATTTTTTTTTTTTTATCTGTAAAAATGCTTTACGCATTAAACGAATAAATCGGGGAAAATCATAAACAACCACATATACAATTTGCATATTATAGTAATATTCCAAAATTATTGAAACCAGCGTAAAACATAATTACCAGGAACATTGAATAAACTCAGAATAGGGTATCCTCTTTCCTGCGAATTGACGATCAAACAGAAACCAGCTTATTGCACGCAATGGCGTTCGCAGGTAAGAGGGGGTTAGGTGTTATATCCCTCCTCCAATTGGCTTAAAATAAAAAAAAAATATGAGTAGTCTAATGTCGAAATACATATATTTCAGCCAAGTAACGAGGAAAAACTAGTTTTTGGATACATTGATTAGAAATTGGCATTATTTAGGACTTGGCATGTAAATTACCAATTCCCACAGTCAATTCGGCTAGAGAATAGGAATTTATGATTTATTCATGATTCTTATTTGCTACATCCTCTCTCATTGATAATTCCTAGGCACACCTCTGATTGCATGTTATTTATTTCCCTGTGACCACGGGCCAATTTTCATCGTATAAATTACCTCTACGAAACCCATATTGTATATACAATGTACATGTACATTAAAATATACATATAATATATTATTAATAATATAATGTTCTAGAATGAATGTTCTAGAGCATTACCGGTTGTTACAATTTATTCCGGGATTTCAAATTTTTTAGGTGTTTAATGTATCGTTTAATTGCGGATCCACTTCTGTGAGAAGAACTCGAAATTATTTCACATGAGTTAGGTTAGATTGATTGATAGATTATAAATTTAATATCGTTCAAAATATATATAAATATATAAAAAAAAAAAAAACAAAATTGAAATTAATTTAGGTAACGTGGTATGATTATTAAACATTATTATAACTCGTCCTTTGTTATGTTAATGTAAAAAAAAAATAGCTGGATATATCCTGATTTGTACCACAAACAGTCTACTGCAGTTGTTAATGGAAAATTGGAAAGGTAAGGATATTATATAGAGTACTTTACTTGATATACGTAAAGTAACGGTACAAGTAACTAAAAAACAAAATTCTAATTGGAGCTCAGCTCAATTATATAATTTTATAATTACGGTCAATACAGTCGTAAATATGGTCACTAAATCGAATATTTTCTAAAGTTAATTTACCTAACTTTAATTTTTTCTTCCACAATCTATCAAACTCAAAGCATTACAACTAATTTTTTTGATTTTCTATATCATTTTAATATGATTTATTAATATATTCTGTTTAATATATTGGAAATATTTACTAATAATACACTTGAGCATATTAGATGTTAATTTAATAAGTAATAAGTTATGAGTCATTAATTACGTTTTCTATCTTTAGTACAGCTAAGGTAATCCAACAATTTTTTAACTGCAATGTTTTAACGTTGCTTTCGGTACATATATTAAGATTAACTTATATCCATCCCTTTAAAACTTCCAATCACTAATATAGAGTAGCCTATTCGTAACGAGTGGATTAAGGCCTAGAAAATAGAGGGAACGAGTTTTAAAATGCATATAAGACACATATTTATGATGAATATCAAGCTCAGAATATATTGGGGCTATGAGTATATATTATGAAAAGCGAACGGGAGAAAGGCGATCGCTCCTCTCGCTCCCCTGGATCCACCCACTGCTGCCCGCGATATGAAGTATATCCATATTTTACCCCAAATTTTACATATTATATTAGATTTACTTATTACTTACCGTACCTAGTTATTTTGTTGGGAACATTTTGGAAATACTTGATATAACGTAGTTATATATCCGCAAATATATTTCTGTTGCTTAGTGCAAGAAGGGCCAATGCCACATTTTGTGATTGTTGGAAAATGGGCTTTGCGATTTTAATTCCACATACGGCTCTGTGTATTTTATTATGCGTAAATATTTATGTAATTTTCAATGTTTACAAAAATGTAAACAATTTTAATTTTAGAAAATGAAAAACTGTACGCTCTTTCTTTTTTTATTTCTAACCGATTTTTCAACAAATTGACATTAGCCCTTCTTGCGCCAAGTTACAGATTTAAAAATTATGATTAGTTTGCGAGAAAAACGAAAAACCCGAGGCCCAAAAGGCGTGTGTCCACTGTCCATATCACCTCTCTCTTCCTATATGCTAATTCTGGATTCGTTATAAAAACGTAGTCTCCGAAACGTTCGATTTGCCTATCCACGCACGGCGCGGAGCAAATTTTATAGGAACTAATGCGTCTGCGACGTTCGAACGTATGCGATACGGACGCATACTTATACCACCCAATAATAATGTATTAAAACCGTTTCCGAAAACGATCGGCGTAATTTAGAAACGGGCCGACATTTTCGCTTTGTGATTTTATGTGTTCCGTGAGCTGCGAGACGCGCATTACGGAATATATTATACATACGCCGTATGCGCGGCGGGTAAACTGGAATTGTCGAATAATTGAGCGCGTATTTATAATAAAACGCGTGTCGCACGGGCGTCCGGTGTATATTTATTATTATTGTGTGTGGTAAATGGGGTTTTCGCGCAGTTATCGTCGATGCGGGAAACGGACCGGTGCAATATTCAATTTATTGTAGGGGCGTGAAATTAAAATAAATACGTGTACACAAACACAATACACATTCTAAGGGAGACCGAGAGGGATGCGACGGCGAGGGATCGATGGGAAAGTAATTAACGATAAGTGCAAACTATTGATAAAAATAATACGAGTGTATTATAACGATGCTGTAATAAAGGCGGGTATAGTAGACGGGCGGGAAAAAAATACGACATATTCGAGAACGAAGAATTGTATTATACCGAGGGTATAGGTAAATAATGAAGACGATATCAATATTAAATAAGAACCTAACCGTTTCGAGTGTTTTCCGTGCAAATGCGCAACGCGCCGAAACATCCGTACTTGTACGACGGGGACGGCGGAGCGATTTTGTCGTGAAATGTACCGACTAAACAAATGTAAGCCCGTACAACGATAATAACTGGGTCGGGATACTTGACAGATTTTTTTTTTTTTACCAATTACGTTTAATTGACTTTACAAAACTTGAATGACAAAATTAATTTTAGTTAAATGATAATTGTAATTTTTTTAACTCCGTTAAGTTAAAAGTTAAAAACTTAAAAACAATTCGTGAATAATAACTCGGGTAATAATTAAATTTCACATTTGTGTGGGCAATCGAAATATTTTAAGTTACGCAAGTGAGATATAACTCAACGATCGAGGTTCACAACTAATTACGGCTTTTAATTTAAACCGACTTGTCAGGCCGGTTCGAAAAAAAAAAAGGGTCGGGTTGAAGACTCCCGAGTTAAATGAATAGATTCTAAAGATTTTTTATTTTTAAGCTCAAAACTTTGCAAGGGACAAACATAGAATATAGTTTTTTCTGTAAAATTAAATGTTAACATTTGACATAAAAAGACTAATGTTGCTATAGATCAAACAAACTATCTTGTTGCGTTATAATTGTTATGAATTTCTAAAAATTGAAAATACAACTCGAAAGTTAACTAAAAATAGAAATTGATCGAATAAGGAACAAAATATATACGTGAACATTTCTCTATGAAGAAAATTTAACCGAATTTAAACACCCAAAACTAATTAAGAACCTAATGTTAAAATTCATTCGCGTAAAAAATTAACTGGTAAATTATTTTAACTTAACTATTAAACTTAATTGTATAACTGTTAACGCGTTAATGTCCATCCTCGGATAATAAAATGCCAATCGTCTCGTCGGTGATGTTTATTATGATGATAAATAACAATTATAATTTATAGTTTACAGATAAGAATTTTGTATAAGTATTTTTTTTTTATTATTTGTTCGCTATTGGTTAAAATAACGGACAGTCAATAACGTCATAACGTTCCAGATTGCTCCGTATAGACAATTACTTGTACATAGGAAAAAATAACCGCCTTGTACACAGTATTCTCTGTTTTTGATGCAATGCAGTGGTACTTAATAAATATAGGCGGTTTCACAGCATCATTTGCTGGTGCGTTTATATATACATATATAAATATTTTAAAAAAATAATAATAATATTGTTAAAACGACCAATAAATTATAAACAAGACAATAATTTATAGTATTTTATTGTTATTATTGTATTATTCATATTGTATTCGTATTATAAACAGACCAGTGTTTCTTCGTTTTTGAATTTATTTTTTAGATGATTTAAGAAATGAGAAGCTCTATAATGTTACATAACTCTTGGTTTTGTCAACGTTAATTTAGATGGTTAAACCACTACCTACTTTTGATTTTTTAATGACAATTTATATTAAAAGTTTCATTAATAGACAGAGTTCTAAATTTAAATAAATTTTGATGTTGTAAATTTTAATTTCCGTCAATCCATTAACGAGATATTACGCTTTCAAGTTTTAGGTAGGGGGACAGTGGCGGAGTACTATTACAACGTCGCGTGCCATGCCATCGCACAAATGATGCACCGCTACTTTTCCCTACTCAACCGAATCTTAAAAGTTTTTACCGGTTTTATCTCATAAAAAAAGAGCGACAAAAAAATTACTTAAATGTAATATTTTAGAACTCCCTAATTCTTAAATGTTCTAAAAAACAAATTTCGGAAAAGGTTAATATTTTCCGGGATAATGAGTGTCTTGCGTTATGTAAATAGCCTTGTAAATTATAAAATTTATGATAGGTACGAGTGAAAAAAAAAAACCACACTACAGATTCTCTGAAGATTTTTCTGCGGAAATACAAAGAACTGTACCCTATTCGTTTCAAAAAGAAAATTAAGAAATGTTGTGTGCCGTCTCGAACGGTATTTAATACGTTATAGTTCAGATACTTTAAACTTTCATATACAATATATATATATGTATATATTTAATTTTGTTTTTTTACGATATCTTATTACATTTTATAGTAAAAAGATAAAACGAAACTAATTAAATTCCTTGCGTATACGTATAGGGAACCTAACTAAATGTAACATTATGGTTACACAAACAAACGAATACAGTAAAAAGTTTACTTTTTTTTTTGGTGTACAATTGTTCTCGTAGAGTATATAAGTTATTAACTAATTACCAATAAAGTATCTAAGTAGAGAAAATATAAGTATTTGTTTTTATATTACTGCTTTTACGTATTTGTATTGATCGGTGAAAAAAAAAAATTACTTGTTTATACCGAAATGACTGTATTTTGCGAATCGATTTTGTATGGGTAGGTGCCTATACTTTTATTTTATACATAATTTGGAAATTTCGTTCTTTTTAGAACATAATTCGAATGCATTGTACCATTTGTTTTTTCAACAACGCAAAGTTTAATTGTTTGAGGTGTTATTTTAAAATATGTTACCAGAGTTGTTTTTAATTATTAAAATTATCAAACATTTTCTTACGGTTTTCATATAAGAAGAAAACAACAGCAAACATGCTTAATAAAATATTTAAAAATTACAATTTTATCTTTAAGAGTCCTTTTTAATTAAGTGCATATGCTGATGACTTTTAGGAGGCTACCAACGTCACGGACGTAATATAATTCTGCTGTCGTTAATTATTTGTTGTATTGTTATCAAACTCTATATACTGTAATGAAACGGAATTTTCTCCTACAACAGTGGTATCACCGATCGTGCGAAGTGTTGAGAATCACGACTTCGTTAAATTTGTCCAGCTTTAGCTATCCCACATGACGTTTGGAATTTTATTGTTATGCATTTCGTAACAGCTAACTATAGAAATGTACGTAAACGGTAAAAATCTACTGAATCATAATTAAAATGGCAATATTTTCATTCGAAATCGAACGGTTTATCAATGCAGAATTGATTGAAATGAATAATATACGTAGTGCAATTCAGCGATATTTCCATTGAAATGTTGTCTATCTATACGTATTCAAAAAACACCCATTGTTGTTAACAAAGACGGGGTTTTTTTTTTTTTTTTACAAGTGGTGCACAAAAATCACAAAAAGCGATAAAACGCATGCCACGGTTTTATTATTATTATTATTATTATTATTATTTTTTTTTTTTTTGCGTTTCAATTCGTATCTAAATTTGTATTACTATTTTTACGTAGAAAGAAAAATCTAAGAAAAAAAAGAAGCATTCGAGGAAACTGATCCTGTAAGATTTACTCGGAAAAGCATGTCTCGACATATGTATATGAACATCGATGGTTTTTTTTCGCTTTAGTAAACGAGAGATACATTTGTATTTTTGTTTTATGTATGTATAGAACTTACCCATGTCAAATGGTTTTTCCACATTGTCTATTTTAAATAAACGTCCCACGGTGGAATACGAAATATGGAAACATCGCAGCTTTTTTTGTTTTTAAAATATGCCCAATTAAAATCGAGAAAACGGATACGGAGGACATTTGGGCAAGATGTATCCACCAATCTCGTAATATAGAACTGTTAATACTAAATTTTTACACCTAATTAAAAAAAAAAAAAAAAAATCCAAAAACGAAAACAATAGTTTTCATTAATCTTTTCGTCATTTAGTGTGTTGTATATACCAGGAGTGGCCAACCAATCGATCACGATCCACTAGTAAATCGCAGACGGTTCAAATGTCGATTTCACTTTGTTAGAACTCATTTTTATACAATTAGTAGATTGACCATATTTGTTGATCATATTTTTCTTAATGCAATATTATTTTTTTGTCAATATGTCAAATATGTTCTTAATAGATCTCTACTAAAACAAGTTTGGCCGCCCCTGGTGTTTACTATACACATACTCATTCGAAAGAACGGATTCAATTCGAATCGAAATGACAACTAATCAGAAAAAGCGGACAATATATTTCCAATATACTTGTTTAATTAGATGATATTAATGCAACAAATTGCAAATGATTGAATTTCAACGAATTTAATGCAATTTAAAAACATAAATTCAAACATTTAATATTTAATACATCCACTGCAGGACATTTCATTGGATAGTTTACCTCGGTTATTCGGTCCTAAACAATGTTAATGTAATTTTTGACAACACTGGTTAAAATAAAGGCGCAGGAAGTCCAAACAAATTCTGAAATATGCCAAACAAATATAAACAAATATCGTACCATACGGTGACTGGGAGAAAAAAAATTAGTTTTGTATGCATTTTTAAAATCCAGGGTTTGGAAAGACTTGTCTACAGTTGTTTATTCATTTTTCGGTTATAATAGTCATAAGAAGTCAAAACAAATTCTAAAATATGCAAATAAAATGACGTAGGTACTAAATTTCCCGTTACAATGCTAATTTTTAATCCTTTTTTGGAGTTTTTTTTTTTTTTTTGATTTCTAAGTTACCTTGTCAATTTCGAAATGACTGTAGCACTATAATATGGAAAATGAAAGAGTATGTAGAAGTAATGACTAATTATAATTTATTATCGATCGTTTATAACAGTTAAAAATTGAAACCAGTTTAAAAAGTTGACTTCTATTGTTAAGAAAAATATACGTTAAAAACGTTCGTTATTTAGTACCAACCAAATATTTTCACAGTGTGGTAATCGACCAGTTACCTTAACCGGATGCTAGTAAAAATTAACTGTAAAAACTAAAAGAGCGAAATTTATAAAATGAAAAGTTTTATAGTGGGTACCTAGGTATAAAAGCAACATAATAATATAATACTTATAATTTATTGTATTTAGTGCAAATTCGGTCGAGTGACTGTACGTTATAAGTATAGGTGGGTACTTTAAAGCCAGTTTTTTACTATACCGTGTTTCATATTAATATACTTAAATCGTTGTAATACGCGTTGTACTACATCACGCGACCTCGTGTCCCCATCATACTCGTCTGAGTATAAAGTATATCCACTCTACGCAATACCGTGTAACGGGAATAATATAATAATACATTTACGTTTGAAAAAATGCATTGAAATAGTATGCTAAAGAGTAAAATAATTTCAGAAATTCCGTAGTACCATTGATTGTGCCTAATAGTACATGGCTATAAGTGAAATATCGCGAATGGAATCATGTATAGGCAATTATTTAAATTTCCCACATTCAACGGTCGTTATATAATTATATAATTAAAAAAATACCTAAATTTTGCATCGAGGTGTGTGTCCACCGGAGTCTATACACCATGATTGAGATATCGCATGTGTATTTTTCAAATATATTTTCGGGTTTTTCGGAGTCTATCGGCTATCGCATAGTGGCAATCAATTTTTTATTACTGCCCCATAAATTCAAGTTTCAACTAGAGTATAGAATGGAGAAGGAAAAGTTAGGGACTAACTAGTTGTCTCGTGAAAACGGGTCATCAATCATCGTCTTATGTCGATTTCCCCAAGAAAAACCTCGAGTTTCTTTTATTTTTATTTTTTATCTTCAGATTCCCTTCGTTGATCGATAGCGAAACAGTCACTTGGGAAAAATGGATTGACAGTCTAAATGGGATAAAAGAAGGAAAAAAGACAAGGGTACGATGCTTAATGAGATATTTTATCTTAATAATAATAATAATAATACAAAGGTATGTATATATATATATATCATTCAAATGGAAAAAACAAATATTTAATAAAACGAGTTAATTTATTTAGTTTATTCATGCATGACCAAGTCAATAACTATGTACAACTTAAATGAAATTCACTACGGTTTGTACTTGAGAAATTCTGACATACTATATAAGTACTATATAGTGCATTTAAATTAACGTTAGAACAGAATAGGACATATTAATTAAAACACAGTACACAAAAGAATATCATAAGTGAATTAAGACGGTGGAACACATACATCCACGTTAAGGAGTTGAGTGTAAAGAATTTTAATGAAAATTTATCATCTCGAGAATATTAATATTCTCTTTTACGTAATTAATAAATTGAAAAACGGTCATGTGTCATTATCACAAATACCTATATTTTATTCTGCACTCGTAAAATGTAATTTATAAATCAATATTTAACAAAATATATGAATACTTACTATTAGAAAAGTAACGTGACCTCGAAAATTTCATCTCATTCATACAAATAACAAATTACATTTATTCATCTTATGGTATTTTAGCGAAAATTATTATCGGATCTAATCCATCTAATGTCATCTAATCCGTTCGTGATATCTATTCCATCTTAACAAACCAATATAAATTTCACAAGACGATCAAAACGATATCTATATTTCGACGGTAAACCATAGAGTACTCTGTATTGATTTGAATTAGACACATCTCGAAATCATTATCAAATGTAAGATTTTTCAATGATGTTTACATCATTTTAAGAACATCACATAGAGTTTAGAAATTTCACTTGATCACATTCATTATTTTATTCGTTTGTCTCACTTTTTCAGAACACATAAATATCTCAATAAAAATATTTCAGTAATCTAACTCATTTAACTGATCAAATAATTAAAAATGGTTTATTTTTTATCACATCGTTCAGTTTTAACATTATCACTTTTCCAGAACAACTTGCTCCAGTTCTACTAATACATTACAAGTATATAATTTTGTAAAACATTATTAATGTTGTGAAAATCGTTTATGTCAAAGTTACTATCTATAAAATCAAAATCCACTCATTACTTAACCTATGGATGTGAAACATGGTCGGTTACATAGTGTGATGAAGACAAATTGTTGACATCTGAAAGAAAAATACTACTATGGTCATAAATACGTTTATTATAGAAAATAGAGAATACAGAAAAAGGACTAATAGAGAAATTTACCAAATGTACCTAAAGCCCAATATAAATTCATTTATAAAAGGCAAACCTTTTGGAATGGGCGGGACATGCATGGACACCCAATGGTATGGTAAAAAATATAATGACAAGCACGATCCAGGGGAAAAGACCTAGAGGACGACCTAGGCAGAGGTGGGTAGACGCAGTTAAATCAGACCTCGAAAAACGTGCATTAGGATCAACATAAGAAGAGAGTGTAGATAGAAAGATAGAGGTATTTTAGGATATAGAAGTTATTTAAAAAAAAAAATGAAATGTCTTATTATTTCATTTTTATTAGAAGCTGATTTACGCTAAATCATACTCATTTTTTCGGATATTTTTTATAGTAAGTATATACGAGTGAAATATCATCGGTTTTATTAACTATATTTTCAATATATTTAACGGTAATCCGTTCAACATTTAAGTACCTATACAGCCTAACTAATGTCTATTTTATAGCATTCCACAAGTCTCTTTGGGTTTTTTTTTTTTTTTTATTAAGAGTTTTGGTTAGTCTATTAAACAAAGTGCAAAGTCTCTTTGGATTTATTACTATTTAAACTCTGAACATTCTGTAGCTAACGTCTTCTAATAGACATTCAATCCGTTCAAAATGTAAATAAATGAAAATCGACGAATAAAAATAAATATATTACGAGGGCGTAATACATTTGTACGTTACTACAGGCTGATTTTTTTCGAATAATTAAAATTAAAACGGCTTCAATATGTTTATATTTAATAACTATAATAATTTTCATGTTTACACCTACGAATAGCGTTCGTGGAAGTCTTTGGAGGAAGCAATTAATCCAATACGGAATTACGGTTGTTTACCGGCCATTCGGTCGGAATAAACAATGAAAACGGACATACATTTGTAAAAAAAAAAATAAATAGCGGTGAAGAACGATTGAGTAAAATTTGCGCAATCGTGTATATTTTAATAGCCATTGAAACACATTTACACGATTGCGCAAGTTTTTAAGCGTTTACAACGTTGCCGTGTAAAAATAGTATTCACTCGTCGTACTGTACAAGTGTTTGTCCAAAAACAAACGAACGTAATATGCTGGAATCTTAGAAAAATTAATTTAATTGAGTGAAAGCCGCTAAAATCTCAATACCGACAAATTCAACAAGGAGGTATGTAGTTATAAATGAATTTGTTAAAAAAAAAAAAAAAAAACCGTGTATCTAGACAATTTCGAAAGTTTTGCAAAAACTTATATATTTAATATAAAATAAAAATACGGGAAAAGTTGAATAAAAATGTACGTATACATTACAAGTATCGTCGAGATGTAAAAAAAAAAAAAAAAAAAATAATAGAGGTAGTTCGTTCGCGGACGAAACAGCGTTTTGTCGCCTTGTCGAAATAACTTTTCCGCTGAGATAATATTATTTTTCTTTTCGCGAATATTGAAAATGATTTCAAATAGCACGCGTCGCGGATGTATCCACATTTGAAAGTACTCAATATCTGATGTGCACAGTTTTGAAAAGTTACGTGAATATTGAAACATCGTTGGACAAGTTAAAAAGTTCGACCGACCCGACGTAAATGTACCTAATGTACATACATATTATTATGCATCAATAACCGTGAGGTTTATGCATTTTGTTTGATATAGGTACGCGTTGTTTCTAAAACGTACGGTCGTAGTCGTCACGTGCAGTTATTAAAGTAGATATATTATACCCGCGTAACTTTTCGGTCTTATTTCGGTATGTATACCGCGCTCAGTACGAGTCGTTTATCAATATAGGCCGGTATATGTTTACGAACGAGTCGAGTAAACAAAAAAAGGAAAAAAATACCGTAAAAAAAAGTCAAATAACTTAAACCGTGTCTGGGAACTCTTTGTTTCGAGAGGGTTAATTAAAAGCAAATATCCGACGACTCCCTGTAATATTGTTTCGTTTATGTTTGTGTATAGCGACTGTGTACATAATGCATGACGGTTTCGGACACCATCTGCCAGGAATCCGGGGAAACTTAGCAAATAATAATAGAACAAAAAAAAAAAAAAAAAAAAAAACAAAAAAAAAAAGAGTTCATATTGGGGACGGGTGCAGACTGTACGTTGTAGATGGATTGGTGGGAAGGTGGGATATATCAAATTGTTTAATTCATTACTCTAAGCAACGATAAATTATTGCCAACGAAAAACGATTCTGAGCGAAGGTCGGTTAAGCAATTCTTTTAAAAAAAAAAAACAATGTACGTTTTCACGACGACAACGCTTATTTATAAGATATTAAAAGATTAAAATAATAAAAACTTAACAATCGAAAATACGTAAAAAAAAAAAAAAAAAACGGTCACCAGTGACAACACTATTTTTAATATGTTTTAACCTTAATTGGTACCAATTTTATCTCAAATATTAATGAAAATTTCAAAAAATGACTTTTCATAAGTATAAACTAGATCCGAACGAAATGCAACAAAAAAAGGTCTCCTGTTGTGTTTTGATTTGAGCAAGATTTCTTTAAAAAATACTTATCACAGTAAATCAATAGATGCCTCGTTTCATTCAGAATTTAAAATAATACGGCCAAATACTGTATACGTGGAAAAAAAGTAAATCAATAAAAAGTATATACCCAACAAAAAATTTAAACATTAACGTATTATTATATACGTATATTATAGTTGTGATAAAAATAGTAAAAAATCAAGCGAGAAAAAGCTCGCTTATGCGATCGCATACTTTAAGGTGAACTTTAAGAAAATAATTCTTTAAAAAAAAAAAAGGGAATAACGATATTGGTTAAAAAAAATTACGAATAATCCATCCGAAAATCAAAAAAAAAAAAAAACCCTGAAAATTAATTTCAAAGACAAAACATCTGTAGCAAAATAAATAGAAGAGAAAATATTCGACGTTAACTTTTGTATAGGTACTCGTACGTAGATTAATATCACGCATGCGAATTTTTTTGTTTTCATTTTCCTTTTTCAAAACCCCGTTCCAATTTTTCTGATTGGCAGTATACATTTTTACGAAAAATGTATACTACGAGCGTTCCGAAATCCATTTTCGCATTATTAATATTACGTGTTGCAACACACATGTTCGTCCGTTTGCGCAGTTTGAGAAGTTAATGTCACGTATTTTTCGTCGGGCTAAAATCAGCATGAATTTATCGGTACGACCCGGCCATAGCAGTGGTTTTTATTTCGAAAAAAACGCGGTCCTAGGAATACGTGTGTTTATCCGCTTCATTTGTGTGTGTGTGATGTTAATTATTTTTTCAGACGTTTACAGAACTCAAACGTCCTAACAGCGAACACTTTTCGTGTTTATACGTTTTTACCATTTTTTTTTTTATGCCGTTACACGTTCGGGCGCACGTAAAAGATTACAATATTTAGTAAACATGACGCCGAATTTCTTAGACATTTTGTCGCACTTGTATACCTCATAAATTATGTATACGTATGCGGTATTACAACGTCATGCAGACGTTTTGGGTCAATTCGCCGGATACAGCGCGTAATTCGATACGCGAGGAATATTGCTGCGGCGAGAAACGAACAACGACACCGGGAACGAAACGTGATTCGTTTCACGTAGGAGGTACCCGTGTATACAATATAATAATAATAATAATAATATGTTTGTCGAGGGTTTTTCGACGAGGACGTCTTTACATTTATTACTCAAAACAACCGCAGCGCGCGCACCACTACACGCACGGTTTTGATGTCGCACGGTCGCCCACCCGGGCGGCGGAGTGTTGACAATTATTAATAATTTAGTAATCTTCGCGTTTAACGGAAACTACGTCGGCCGCGGTAAAATTAATTGATATTAACGGAATGCGCGCCGGTGCGGCTACTGCGCGTCCACGGTTGTTATTGTCACTGCGCTACGCAATCGCCGTCGCTCTACGGGAATTCCGTTCAGGAATTCCCCGTGCTGCTCGCCGCGCGCGGCGTGGCTCAAGAACGTTCCGAACGTGAACGTTTGTTTCCGACGACAATCCCCGGTGAAAATTTCGTTGGCGGACCGAAAAAAAATAAATAATAAAACGTCAAACGGAACGTCCCTCGCTCCGGCGGGTCTCTGCGGCAGCAGTCGTCGGTGGCCAGCGGGCGAGCAGAGCATTTCGATCGTTCGCCCGCGGCGGTTTTAATTGCGCCGAGTTGACGGAGTTAGGACAATATCGCACGGGTGTATCGCACGTCGTAGAACGCGGCTATTTCTAACATTTCCATTCCAAACGCTTATGGATTATGCTCTAAACTTTCAGACGGATTTTTGACGAATCTTGTGCCAAAGTCCCCGCGAACACCAATACTGTGTTATTATTATTTATACCGGCATAACGGCTGCAGGCGTACACGAAACTACGTTTACGTATTGACGTATCGCATGATTAATACGTACGAGCCGTTTCCTGACACTGTTTACAGACCGACCGCGGAAACTTTTGTAAAAACCCATCACGAGGAAAGCCTCCGTGTAACGAAAATCTCTTTTTCTATTGGCACGATCCGCGGTGGCCATAACGCAACGCGTTATCCTTTCCTCCTTCGGCCATCTCTCTTCCCATCGCTTTTCTCGGTTTTTGTCGGGAAGCATTTCAAACTCCCGATGTTTCCGTTGAATTTTCGCAAACGTGTGCATATAATATAATAATAGTATACAGGGCGTCCCTCGAAGATATACCAATTGTAATATCTCCGGAGAAAATAGTGAAGATAGTTAAATTGTGTTTCTTTATTAAGTTTTTTTACGAAATAGAATGAAATAGAAATATTTCTATTCCTTTCCCCGTGTGCAATATTAAAAAAAAACCGAATTCGATTATCTTTATTATCCCCGGAGATATTACGATTGGTATATCTTCGTGCCATACCCTGTATAGCGATAATAGGATATGCCATTTCAATCAGATTTTTGTCATTGATGTAAGTTTTCTTGTAATGTATAATTTTCTTTCTGTATGTCAACATTTTAATGATTAGACATCTTGTTTGAATCATCCACGTCGGAGATGGTTTGTCAATTTGCCTAATTGGTGCATCGAAGAGGGAATTTAAAAAAAAAAAAAAAAAAAAAAAA